ACACACACACACACACACACACACACACACACACACACACAAACATTCACGATTGAACGCGCGAGTGTACCTGTAGTCGCGGTGCGCCGTTGGGGTTTCGAAGAAGAATGCGAGGACGGTCAACAGACGAGTGATGGTCATCGTGGTTGTGCCCTGCAGCTTGATTGCCGGCTGATTCGTCTGCACACACACACACACACGCACGCACACACACGCACACAGGCACGCACACACACACACACACGAGCACATATTGATGAACACAGTCAACAAAAAGTGTGATGGCAGCACATGCATGCACACACATACGCACAAACACAATGTTCATATACATACGCACGCGCACACACACACGTTTCACACAAGCATCCAACTGCTCACGTCGTCGGTGTCCTTGAAGAGCTGGTTGAAGGACTCCTGCAGCAGCGATGGTGTGCCGGGCACAATGCCGTAACGCGACAATGATGCAACCGCCTCGCTCGCACCAAACACCTGACGATGATGATGATGATGATGATGGTGGTGGTGGTGGTGGTGGTGGTGGTGATGATGATGATAGTCATGGTGGTACTGATAATGAGCCAACGTGCATATACGCGCACGCGCACACAGCATAACACACGAGGCCCGTACCCTGTTCTTGGTCTGGTAGTCCCGTTTGCAGGCTGGGTGGGTGATCTCCTGCTTCGCCCACCCCACGAGCGCGCGCAGTGACGCCGTGAGCCGCTGCACGTGTTCCGCCAACGCCACCTGCTCCTCCTCGTGTGCACGTGCACGTGCACGCGCGCCGGTTGTCTCGTACAGGATCGGAGCGCCACCACCGCTGCCGTCGCCGCCGTGTGCGCCCTGGAGATCTGTGATGGCGGACTCAAGCGCCTCAACCGTCAAGGACGTGGACGCCGAGTCCCGTGCAACGTCCTGATTGCGACCAACGAAGATGATGGAGGAGAGACGGGTGTTGGCGGGGAGTGTTGTTGAGAGAAGGGTGAGGCGTGTGGTGCGCGCAGAGCGGTGGGCGGCATTGGTGGACGCAGCCACAACACACAACACATGCACATGCACGCACCACATCAAAAACACAGCACATACACACGTACATACATACACATACACATTCACACATATACACATACACATACATACATACATACACATACACACATATTTATATTTACACATACACATTCACATACATACATGTACACATACACACACACCTCGATGTTGTGTGCCTCGTCCAGGATGATGATGGCGTTTGCCGGGTTGATGTCCATGGTGCTGCGGATCACGGGGTCGATGAGGTAGTTGTATGGACAAAACACAATGTCGGCAGACGGCAGCATTTCACGCGACGCGTAGTAAGGACAGCCGCGGATCCGTTTTCCAGCGGACACGAGGTCCTCCAAATCCCAGCTCTGTGTCCGGAAGCGTCGTGACGCGAGCTTCTGCGCGTTGTTGTAATACGCGCAGCCGGAGCCGCCGCCGCCAAACGCCCGCTGCTCCAGCATCAGCTTGCACTCCTCATTCTTTGCGGGAGACTTTGACACGCGCGGGTGGATGCACGTCTGCTCGCGGCTGCTGAGCACGGTCATGTGCACATCCCGATATGCGCTTCGCCCAAGCTCTTTCGTAATCTGCTCAAGCTGCTTGTGCGTCCGGCTCGCAAAGAAACTGCAACAATTGTGTGTGTGTGTGTTGATGTGTTTGGGAAGATGCGTTTGTGGAAGGTATGCGTGGTGAGTGTTGATTTGGCGTGTGCGTGAGCGTTGATTGGTGTGTGTGCGAGCGTGTGTGTGTAAGTAGGCACGTGAAAAACAACAACCAAGAGAAACAACAACAACAACCACAACACAACACGCAATGCAAACACGCGATACACACGAACAGCAAACACCAAACACACGCGTGCACGTACATCTTTGGCGGGCGCTTTGGGCGGAGGTGTTTGGATCGTTTCAGGGGCTGCTCCCCGCCACCCTCCGACGTCTGCTGTTGTTGGTCATGGTGGGGGTGGGCTGTGGCGATGTTTGCGTTTTCCTTTTCCGCAGAGTTGACTTGCTTCGTACTGCCGCTGCTGCCACTGGATGCTGATGATTCTTGCTGATGCTGTTTCGAGTGCTTGATGGTGAAGGATGCGTCCATGAAGTCGTCGTCATCATCGTCAGCAGCATCGAGCAACGCGCCCTGCCCAAGACCGCTGCTCCTGCCCTCGTGTCGAAACTGATCCAGCACGTCCAGGCTGGCAGTGAACTCATGCGACTCGCCTGTGCTTGCGTCCTGTGGAGCGTTGGCACCACTGCCTGCCGGTTGCGGTTTGGGCTTGCCTGTTGCTGTTGCAGCCGCCTGCATCTGAGCCTGGGCCTGCGCAAGCTCGTGGGCGGCCTGCTCCGCGTGGAACTCCGCCAGCAGGCGCGTGCGCTCGGCCTTTTGCCAGGCCAGGGATGCGCACAGCAGGGCCAGCGACTTTCCACTTCCGGTTGGGCTCTCAAGTAGAGCATTGTCCCCCTGCAACAATGCAAGCGACGAACACAGAAAAAGGGTGCATATGTGTGTACATGTGTGCATGTGTGTGCATGTGTGTGTACATGTGTGCATATGTGTGTGAGGTTCAACAAGAGGAAATAGGTAGTTTGATGAGAGGCAATGAAAGCGCAAACAGGCCCGCAGCGTGCGCGTGTGTGCGCGTGGAAATGCCTGCGATCCCTTCTCTCTGACCTTGTCCAGCGCCTTCAAGATGGCGGAGATGAGGAGGAACTGGCTTGGGTACGGCTTGAATGGAAACACGATCCGCTTCCCACATATCTGATACTCCTTCATTTCACAGAATGTGGTGGAGGGAAGCACAGCAGTGCAGTGTGCGGTGTGGCGTGCACGGTGTGCGTGGTGTGTGGCGTGCACGGTGTGCGTGGTGTGTGGCGTGCACGGTGTGCGTGGTGTGTGGCGTGCACGGTGTGCGTGGTGTGTGGTGTGCAGCAGTGCGATCTCCAGCCACAACACGCTGCTTCCCCCTCTCGCGGTAACGGGTTTGTGCGTGGTCCTGGCCGACTGAATTCAATTTCATTGTTCCCAACAAGAAAGTTTGACATATCTTGAACCAAATTCAGTTGCAACCAGTTCATGGAATATTGTTGATGGTGTAGTTATTTTTCTTTGAGTTCAGTGAGCGAGTGCGAACAACAACGACAACGACAACGAAAGCAACGCCAGCAGGCAAAGCAAAGCAAGCAAGCAACAACGGATATCGTCATGAGTGAGGCAAAGCCGAAGAAGGCCAAGACAGAGGGGCGTGTGGCCCTGATCACAGGCATCACGGGACAGGTGGGTGTTGGGTGTTTGAATGCTTGACTGCTGTTTACTTCTGTGTCTCTGTGTCTGTCTCTTTTTGTGTAACTGTGTGTCTGTGTATGTGTCTGTGTCTGTACCTGTGTGTGTGTGTGTGTGTGTGTCTATTCCTGTCTTTGTCTGTGCCTGTACCTGCGTGTGTGTCTCTCTATTCCTGTCTCTTGTCTGTGTCTGTGTGTCTATACCTGTGCTTGTCTGCGTCTGTATGTCACGGTCAAGGTGCCCCAGCATTTCTGTACGCAATCGCACCTTGGAACAACAGCACCCCCACTGATCGCACCATCCCCTCTCGCCCAACGGCTTTTGTACAGGATGGATCCTACTTGGCCGAGCTCCTGATTGAGAAGGGATACAAGGTGGGGTGCATCACGGGCTTCGCAACAACAAACAACAACCAACAACCAACAGCACTGATGAGGGATTTTCAACGACATTTTACCTCTTGACTTGTTTGAGTATGGCCATGCCTGCGGCTGTGGTTATACCTCTGCTTGCGCTTGTGTGTGTGTGTGTGTGTGTATGTGTGTCTGTGTGCCTCTGCTTGTGCTTGTATGTCGATTCACCGCATTCCGCACGTGCGTATGCGAACACACACACACACACGTATGAACACAGGTCCATGGCATCATTCGCCGCTCCTCATCCTTCAACACAGGCCGCATCGAGCACCTGTTTGCCAACCCACTCACCCACGCACAGAAGAGTACGTGATTGTGGCTGCCGCTTGTGGGATACCCACACAACGATCCATCCCGAACGACACTTGCTTCGATCCTCACTTTGTTATTCCTCCCTCACCCCATATGTGTGCATGTGTGCATGTGTGTGTGAATGCAGACATGGTGCTGCACTACGGTGACTTGACGGACAGCACGTGTCTGATCAAGATCATCACAGAGGTGAAGCCGGATGAGGTGTACAACCTCGGTGCCATGAGCCACGTCAAGGTCTCCTTCGATATGGCTGAGTATACGGGGAACGTCGACGGTGCGTCTCACATTGCCGCGGTTGCGTATGTGCGCTTGTGTGTGTGTGTGTGTGTGTGTGTGTGTGTGTGTGTGTGCGTGCTTTCTCTTTCTGCGTGTGTGTGTGTGGGTGTCTACCTGTCCGTGTACTTTATGACTGTTCCTCGTTAGCGCAACTGAACGTGTGCTGCAACGAGCCCATAACCTGTGCACCGCTGTTCCCTCCTGCTGCAATACTCCTGCAACCATGCCACTCGACGCGACAGGCCTCGGTACCCTCCGGCTCCTGGATGCGCTGCGCACCGCCGGCCTGGGCGACACCGTCCGCTTCTACCAGGCCTCAACAAGGTGCACACGCGCGTTGGATGGGAGGGTGGGATGCACCCCTGTGTGTCTGTGTGTGTCTGTGTGTGTGTGTGTGTGTGTGGTTGGTGTTTTGTCGCTCGATGATGCTGCTGTTGTTGCCTTTTCAACATACCATCCTTTTCTCACCCAACCAATGCTGTACCCGTTTACCCTGCTCACGTGCGTGCGTGTGTGCGTGCGTGCGTCTAGTGAGCTGTACGGGAAAGTGCACGAGATTCCGCAGACGGAGACGACGCCCTTCCACCCCAGGTGCCGCTCCTGCCGCCAACACACACATGTACACACACACATGTACACACACATGCACACACATGTACACACATGCACACACACACATACGACACTTTGTGAGAGGCGTAGCGCTGCTGGTCATTTGCCAATGCACGCTCCTGACATGAGTTGACCGTTGTGTTTCGTGTGTGCTTCGTGTGTGTGTGTGTGTGTCGTGTGCGGGTGACAGGTCGCCATATGGTGTTGCGAAGATGTACGGGTACTGGATTGTTGTCAACTACCGCGAGGCATATGGCATGCACTGCAACAACGGCATTCTCTTCAACCACGAGAGCCCGCGCAGAGGTGCGCATCACTCGCTGTCCGTTGTAATGTGTGTGTGCGTGTTTCTGTGTGTTCTGTGTGTTCTGTGTGTGGTTCTGTGCGTGTTTCTGTGTGGCCGTGCCTGCGTCAATCACCACTGACTTCTCCACACACACCCCTCCACACGTTGCCTTCGTGGTTTACAGGCGAGACGTTTGTGACGCGCAAGATCACACGCGCCGTCGCCAAGATTTCCCTGGGTCTGCAGGAGGAGGTAAGCACTCCCGCCATCAACCACCACCACCACCACCACCACAGCACACAGTTTTTGAAATGCGCCCACAATCGGTGGTGTTTGGGTGCGCGTGGGGTCACTTCGATGGCTTCGTGTAAGCCGCTGTTGCATTACGCTCACGCCAATGTCATCGACACGCGCGCACACACACACACACACACACACACACACACACACACTCTCTCTCTCTCTCTCTCTCTCTCTCTCTCTCTCTCTCTCTCTCTCCGTTTTTCAATGCATTCACGCACGCTTGTGTATGTATGTGCGTATTTATTGTTTTGTTTGTGTCTGTGTGTGTGTCTGTGTGTGTGTGTGTGCCTCTGCCCATATATACATATGTGTGTGCACAGGTTGTGCTGGGCAACCTTGATGCAAAGCGGGACTGGGGCCATGCGCGGGACTATGTGGAGATGATGTGGCTCATGCTCCAACAGGACACCCCAGACGACTACGTCATCGCCACAAACGTGCGCTGCTGGCATGGAGAGGGGGTAGAGTGTGTGTCTGCGTCTGTGCGTCTACGTGCTACACCGCCTAGCAGCCACAACTGCTCCCCAACCCCTTGAAACAAACACACTCACACTCACACACACACACACACACACACACACACACACACACACACACACACACACACACACACACACACACACACACTGGACGTGACAGGAGGCGCACTCTGTTCGAGAGTTTGTTGAGCTGGCGTTTGGGGAGATTGGCGTGACGATTGTGTGGGAGGGCGAGGGTGTCAACGAGGTTGGAAAGGACAAGGAGACGGGCAAGGTCCGCGTTCGCGTCTCAGAGAAGGTGAGCTATTCCTGCTGCTGCTGCTGTTGTTGTTGCTGCTACTGCTGCTGCTGTTGTTGCTGTTGTTGCTGTCATGGTCAACATGGTGATGGAGGTGCCTGCTCACCCTCGCCAACTGCCACCGTCGACGACCATCACCACCACTGTCATCAGTTCTATCGCCCTGCGGAGGTTGATTTCCTGCTGGGCAATCCGGAGAAGGCGGAGCGGCAGCTCGGCTGGAAGCCAAAGATCTCCCTCAACGTAAGACGCAGAGGCAGACGAGGAGGCACGCACACACACGCACGCACGCACAGACACACACACACACACACACACACACACATACAGACACACACACACACACACACACACACAGTATCACCATCCCCTCGCCATCACTACATGACCATCGCCTCACCTCGGCCGCTGTGCAGGACCTGGTCAAGGAGATGGTGAAGGCTGACATCGACCTCATGTCCCACAACCCGCGCGCCTAGACCCGAACCCACCACGCACGCACACGCACTCCCGTGTTACCACGTGCGTGTGTGCGTGTGTGAGTGTCTGTCTCTGCTGTCTCCCCAGTCAAACTGTCTCCCCCGTCTGTCTATTCGTGTGTGTGTGTGTGTGTGTGTGTGTGTGTGTGTGTACCGCGCATGTCCATGCTGGGCTTTGTGCTTTAGTTCGTGTGCTTGCTGAGTTACCTCAAGTATGCGCGTGCGTGCCGTGAGTTTGAGTGCTTGGTGCGTTGCTTCGACGAAGCAATCGTTATTATCGAGGCCACGGTACCACGAGATGAAGTTATGCCGCGAATACGCCAACACCCACCACATACAAATGACGCAAGGATAACCACGCAACCGAACTAATGTAAACATGTCCAGGCAACAAGCAGTATGCATCCAAGATCAAAGAAAATGGCGGTTGCTGCCGTTCTTCCTTCCTATGACGACATGGATGTCTGCAACGAATGTCAAAGGGGGGGGGGGTTGTTAAGCGCAGCAGAAGCGTGAGCGTACCAAAACACAAAGTGATCATGTCCAGGTTAAGAGGTGCACATTGGAGCGCACGCACACACGACACACACACACACGAGACACACACACACACACACACACGAGACACACACACACACACACACACACACACACACACACACACACACACACACACACGAGACACACACACACACACACGAGACACACACACACACACGAGACACACACACACACACGAGACACACACACACACACAAACACGAGACACACACGCGCGCACTTGGTCTAAGATGTGGCTGACGGCCTGACGGACGGAAAAGATGCTGATTGAGAGGCCAGCGGCCACGAGTCGAGCGTCCACGTCGCCCATTTCCTGATCGCAGCGGTTGACGCGGAACTGCGGTGACTCGTAGATGCCAAGGGCCGCTGCCAGCTTCACGTGCAAGCGTGCCAGCTGCTGTGCGGACGGGGACCCCGTTGCTTCTTGCGACAGCTGCGATGACGACGACGACGACGATGGCAGCGCGGCGAGCTCGTGCAGGTCCACCTGCAGGTCGCGGAGCGTACCGTGGTTGAGGGCCTCTGCAGAGAACTTGTGCATGCTCTCAAACACACGGCCAATGAAGGAGGTGATTGCCGAGTGGTTTGGGTCTGCTGGAAGCTGGTGCACCACCTGTAACACTTCATATGAAAGCGGGTGGAAGGGCAAGGCGAAGAGGTGGAACGAGATGTCGATGTTTTCAGGGACGTCCATGGTTTGCGCCTCGTGCCACACGCGCTTGCCATCCGGGCACAGGGGATCGATCCACACGTGAAGGTGGTACTTGCAGTGTTCATGCGACAGCGTCAGCGCTGTCGTGTTCACCCGCTGCAGGTACGCGGGCACATCTTCCAGCACGCTCCCACCACACAGGTGCGGCGACAGTACACTCGCAACAGCAGCTACTGCAAGCAGCTGCATCACCAGCACACGAACTTGTGGCATCGTGGGTGGGTGATCGTGGATGAATGGTTGTGTGACATGAGCGCGGCGATATCGTCCTTTGTTTGGCCTATTTATATGCCATCAATACAGCATACGAACAAACACATGGTCGAGCGCTGCTGTCTGTTGCCTTCTTGAACGCTGTCTCTTCATTGGTAGTCGTCGTTGCCGCATTGCCGATTGGATCAGCAAGCACTTGCTGTCGCCATGAGCGAGTCGTTGAGCATCACGTTTACGCCCATGCGGAGGCCACCGAATGAGTTAACAAGCGTGCAAGTGGCCATTGTGCCTGCTGGAGGCCTTCACACGAACGTTGACAGCATCAAGCGTGCAAGGTGTGTGTATGTGTGTGTGCGTGTATGTGTGTGTGTGTGTGTGTGTGTGTGTGTGTGCGTGTATGTGTGTGTGTGGACGTGTGGACGTGTGGACGTATGAGTTTACTTGCATCTGTATTGTGTGTGTGTGTGTGCGTGTGTGTGTGTGTGGAAAAGTACTGTTTGGAGGTCCGTGATCGCGATCAGATGTGCTGGCTTCCTCGCTCATCCAATTGCTTCATGTTTGGACACTCGTCTCGCTGGTACAGGAGGCACGTCTTGAAGAAAGACACAGACAACCAGTTCTCCACGACCCTCAAACTCAAATACGGCGTGTATCACCTGCTCTTCCTCGTCAACAACCAACACTGGAGGTGAATTGGCGCGGTTGGGTGTGGGTGGGTGGGGGATGCGAGTGTCTGCTTTTCTGTGTGTCTGTCTGTGTCTGCCTGTGTCTGACTGTGTGTCCGTCAAGCTGTCGCGTTGCCCAGTGTGTGCGCTGTTGTGAATTTTACATTCTTCTTCCATGTACGTTTGCTACATGATCACCTCCTGATGTGCTGACATCCTTGAATTGTCCTCCCCCGCAACCCACGTTTCATGGAACACTCGCCTTGTACATCAGCTGTTCCGGATCCCACTCTTGCACAAGACTTGCAGACAACCACTCCATCAACTTCATCGAAGTACCAACACACAAGCCCGTCACATGTGAGCGTCCAATTGTTTGCTTGTGTGTATGAACGTTGCTGTGAGAATTCGTGTGTGTGTGCGTGCGTGATTGTGATCGCGATCGTGCAACTCTGCGACTGTGTACGACTTCTATGTGTGTACGTACTTTACGTTATGATATGAACATGAACATCCACTGCAGCTGTCTGCCTGCACGTGCGGCTGTTTTCCCTCTTCCTGCATCGTGTCTGACCCGCAATCCATGGCTCCCACCCTAGTTCACCGTGCAAGCACTCATGCCACATGTGACATGTGTCTGTTTTGTGTGTGTGTGTCTGTGTGTCTGTCTGTCTGTCTGCATCTCTGTCTGCGCAGTCTCTGCGTCTGACTTTGAGGATATGCCGCTGCTCGGAGAATCGGGACAAGGCTCGCAATCAAGCAGCTGCTGCAGCTGCTGTTGCATATCCTAGTGTGTGCCATTGTGATTTTGTATGCGGTGTGTGTATGCAGCGTGTATGCGATGTGTGTGAGTGTGTACTGTGTGTGCGCATGATTGATTGTGTCTGTGTGAGCGCATTTGCGACTGTGTGTACATGTGTGTACATGTGTGTGTGATTATGCGTGTGTGCTGCTGTGTCTCTTCACCCACCTGTCTCTCCACGAGTGTGTGTGTGTGTTTCTGCTTGCCATCATTCTTTGTCTACCTGGAGTGTGCATGATGTCTTGTCTCTCGTCGTGCTCTTGTCATGCCACGTTACTGTATCGACAACCTCCCCGCCACCTGTCGCTTTGCTACTCTTGTGTTACAATCCTCAACCACGTGTTGAGCCAGCAGCGGTAAAGCCCAATTCATAGTGCAGCAACAGTGACACACACACGCACACAACCACACGCACGCACGCACACCACACCACACCCTTGCATACGCATACGCACACGCACACAACCACACGCACGCACGCACGCACACGCACACCCTTGCACACGCACGCACACCACATGCACGCACACCACACGACATGCACGCACACCACGTCCGTCATCGCCTTGCCTCATGACGGTGGGAGGAATTGTCATGTTTTCTACCACTTTTCCGCAAGCATGACTGTGAACAGGTTTGTATTGTGCTGAGATGGCGCACTCGCTCCTCCGAGCGCACACAGTGCACACGACCTGACTGCCCTCCTTTCTGCTTTCCTTACCTAGTGCTGGCTGGTGGTGGCGGCTGTTGCGTTCTCTCACCGTGTCACGTCCTGTCCTGATGCTGTGGTGCTGTGACACTTCGAAGGTTCACCCGCAGCCTGCGGGCTGGGGAGCTCAATGCATTCTACGACCACGCAGCGCAGCTGCGCCTGCACCTTCTCGACAAGTTCAAGATCAAGGATCGCACCTACCGCTTCAAGGTGTGTGTGCGTATTGTGTGTGCGTATTGTGTGTTTGTGTGTGTCTGTGCGTGCGTGCGTGTGTGTGTGTGTGTGTGTGTGTGTGTGTGTGTGTGTGTGTGTGTGTGTGTGTGTGGTGTGTGTAGTGTGTGTGTGTGTGTTGTGTGTGAGTGTGTGTGTAGTGTGTCTGTGAGTGTGAGTAGTGTGTGCGTCTGCGTCTGTGTGGTGTGTGTATCCTCTCATCAACTCGATGACCTCGACCCTCACATGCTTTCCTACCTGCCTGCCCACTTGATTCCTCCCTCTGCTGCATCCTTTCTGATCGTCCAAGACATTTTCCCGATGCTTCAAGGGAGATGCACTGGTCACCCATCTTGGTGCGTTGATGGGTGTGAGCTCTCGGTCTTCCCAACCGCAGTGCCAGTGATAGTGGCAATGTTTGCCCTGCCCGTTACAAGCGAAACTCACACTGCCAACACTCCTCGTCACAAACCGCGACCCCCAACTGACACCATCGCCATCGCCACCTTCGCCACCCACAGTTGAGACAGGGGATTGTAAGTCTCGATCGGAAGCCGTGATGGTTGGCTGCTCCCTCCTGATGTTCGGCGTCATTCACCACGTCGTCGATGATCACCAGTTTGCCGACAAGCCCCTGTTCTATCGCTTTCGCCAAGACGATGGCACCTTCAAAGGTGACCCTCCTGTGTTGTGTGTGTGTGTGTGTGTGTGTGTGTGTGTGTGTGTGTGTGTGTGTTTGTTTGTTTTGAGGGGAGGCTTTGTGTTGATACTTGCTCGCTTGCCTGCCTGCTTGCATTCCTCGAGCGCAAATATGCAGAGTTCGCGTGTGGCAACCTCCACGATTCATGTCCACCTCACCCTTTGTGTGCTGCCTGTTGATGGTTGTGGTACAGCGGACACACGGTCATACCAGCTCAACTGTCGTCTGGCCGTGCATATCCACGCAGCCATGCACGCCTCGGGCATCATGATCAAGGACAGGTGGTGGCCCGACCTTGCTTGACCCGCCCTGTACCCATGCGTCCACAGCACATTTGGATACTGGCCCAACCAGTAACCATGCTTCTCTCTTTGCGTACAATGTTCAGCGCCCCCAACAACAAGCGTGCTCACAACACCATGACCCCACACAAACTATTACTGTTACTCACTCATTAGGGAGTTTGGCATTCGCACCTTCTCACGCTGCTTTGTCACGAGGGAGTTTATCCCCTGGCTCCTCTCCCAAGGTATGATGTGTTCGTCTGTGTGTGTGTGTGTGTGCGTGTGTGTGTGTGTGTGTGTGTGTGTGTGTGTGTGTGTGTGTGTGTGTGTGTGTGTGTGTGTGATCGGTATATGGGGTGCTCCTCGCCTCACCACATCAGCACTTGGCCATCGGGGTTGTGCACACGTGTTGGCGTGTGTATGCTGCAGAGTTGGTCAAGGATTACACGGAGGCCGTTGATCTGGGGCGAAAGCTCACAGAGAACGGCTTCATCCACCACGTATGTCCGTTGGTGTGTGTGTGTGTGTGTGTGTGTGTGTGTGTGTGTGTGTGTGTGTGTGTGTGTGTGTGTGCTGCTCCTTATCTCATGTAAATCTTCCACAAACTACATCCAAAGGCTCATACTCAGCGGGTCAATCTCCGGGTCTTCGGACTTCGGACAAAGATAAAAGGGATATAAAAGAAACAACTACAACTTTCCGGTCAGTGTCTACTTATCTAGTTACCCCCTCACAGCTCGGTAACTCAGGTACGCTTACTACCCAAAGACGCGAGAATCCAATGGACTTAGGAAACATTGGCGCTTGGGAGCCGATCAAATCCGTCCCACGTCGTCGTCGTCGTCGTGTGTGTTGTGTGTGTGTGTGTGTGTGTGTGTGTGTGTGTGTGTATGTGTGTGTGTGTGTGTCGGTGGCTGGCTGGCTGTGTGGGTGTGTTTTGCCCAATTTGTTTTTCTCTTCCCCGCTCTCCTCCTCCTCCTCAACACCCCCTCCACCCACCTCTCCTCCTCCTCAACACCACCACCACCACCCCATCAGGCGGGCTGTTCATGGGCCACCTCAACCCCGCCCTCCGCCTCGTCGTCCCAAGGGTCAGGAACGCCCTCAGGAACAAGTCCATGCAGGGAAAGGTGCGGGCACATGCATCCACTTGTCCACTTCCTCCTGCGGACCTTTGCACACACGTGTCACCCTGCTGTTGCCCCGCTGAACCCACACACTCTCACCCTCATCCTCACACGCACTCACACACACAATCACAATCAATATCACACACACACACATACACTCTCACCCTCACACACACACACACACACACACAAACACGCGCGCGCGCACACACACTCACACTGACACTCACACACACACACAATCACAATCACACACACACACACACACATATCTCTGGCACAACGCCTGTACACCCTACGTACCCGACCTTCTTCTCGTGGCTCCAGTCCGGGTTCCACGTGTCGGAGTCTGATGTGCTGCACCGCGTGCCGATCATGTTTGAGGAGGAGGAGCCCGCCGGCATCGCCGCCTCACACACGCGCAACCATCTCTACACCGAGACGCCATCCCACCAGCCCCCATCATCGTCCCCAGCACAGCAGCAGCAGCAGCAGGGCGACGTTCGTGAGAATGAGCTGTATGAGAACATGGACGAGGTGGTGGTTGCGGTGCAGGATCGCATGGACGCCATGTCGCTGTCTGGAGAGTTCCAGCTCTCGTCCCAGACCGATGAAGCCATCTACGAAGTCCCCGCCTCCTCCTCCTCCTCCACCGCTTCAAAGGTGGACTCTGTGTCTGTGTGTGTGTGTGTGTCTATGTGTGTGTGTGTGTGTGCGCGTGTATGTGTACGTGTGCATGTGTGTGTCTGTCTTTCTGTCTCTGTGTCTGTGTGTATGTGTATATGTCTGTATATGTGTGTGTATGTCTGTGTGTCTGCCTGCGTGTCTGTCTGTCTGTCCCGCACACACACACACACACTCTCTCTCTCTCTCTCTCTCTTTACCAAACTGCCGATCTGCCTGCCTGCGTGTCTTTGTGTGCACATGCCTCTGTCTGATTGCTGCACAATGCAAACATGCACCTCACGCCGTCAACTCCACCACCCACTCCAACGCCCCCACAACCCGCCCCGCCCCCCTCCTTTCCCTCCATCTCCTCCAGACGACGAGCGAGCAGGATGCGACCGTGGCTGCGCTGTCGGAGATGTACAGCTCGCTGACGTCGTCCATCGCGGCGGCGTCGTGGTACCACGGTCCGCTCGATCGCGCAGCCGCTGTACAGCGACTTCTCTCCGCAGACAGCGGCGATGGCACGTGGCTCGTCCGCGAATCAACAAAGACCAAGGTGCCGGGCACCGAATTGCATGGGCACCTGCGATCCGCATGCTCCTGCTTGCTCACATGCACACACGCACACACATATACACACACGCAAGCACACACATATGCGCTCACGTGTGTGCTCTGTCGCACCCTCCCTCTGCTTCCCCTTGTTGGCAGCAATATGTGCTGTCGCTCGTTGCTGGCGGTGACGTCTACCACATTGAGATTGCCTGCTGGGGATGGCCCAAGTCCCCAATTGCAGACGTACGTTTCGGTGGCGTGTGTCCGTGGCTATTTAGGCGTGTGTGTGTGTCTGTGTGTGTCTGTGTGTGTGTGTCTCTCTCTGTCTGTGTGTCTGTGTGCGCATGTGTGTCTGTGTGTGCGTAGGTGTGTGTTGCTATGTAGGTGTGTGTGTGTGTCTGTGTGTGCGTGTGTCTGTCTCTTCTCTGTGGCTGGCTGCCTCTTGGCACGCGCAACCTCACAAACACTTCCTCGTATGCACACATTATGTATTGCCTTCCCCACCCCCCACACAGCACAAACCGGGGTTCACCTTCTCGCTGGATAACAGCGCGCTGTTTCCGACCATGGATAAGCTGCTTGCATGCTACAAGATGGGCAAAGGCCTCCCTGCGCCCCTCAGAACACCATGCCCGCGGCCATGATCTGGTCACACCCAGCACACACACACACACACATACACACACACACACACATGTTAATCGACAACATGGCACTTGTAGATCCAATGCATACCATTCTGCATGTTGGTTCACGTTACACACCCTCTGCCGTTACTTGTAGTCAATCAAGGCGCTGGCTGGTGTCTCTTGTTACCAGCGTGCTCTGCGTTACAGTTTGTTTCACCTGTCATGAAGCGGCATACCTATCCCACACGCATGCACGTGAGAAGAGAGAGATGGAGAGAGCCAAGTGAAGACAGTGGGAGAACGCTAGGGAGAGCAATAATACACCACACACAAACACACACACACACACTCTCTCTCTCTCTCTCTCTCTCGCACGCAGCGTCGATGTTTGACTTCCACATTTGCAAATTTTCCAACCTGCAGGAAGGACAACAACGACGAACAACAACAACAGCAATGCAGCAAGGTCGTGCTGTTGCGGGGTTGAGGTGGTGGCGAGCGAGGACGAACGCACCACCGACCATCATCCGCAATACCCACCGCCGCCAATTTGTTTCGCTGGCGCAGCGAAGCAAGCACCGTCATTGGTGGCGGCGTCGCATGAGCACTGGCAGTGAAGGAAAACGTGATAGTGCCACAGCGCCGACTTCGGCAGCGACACAACCCGGAAACAAGCCGCCCAGGTTATTCCGACCGCACTTCGTGGCCAGCAACGCACCGGCCGCGCAGGAGGCACTCATGGCGCTCAAGCTGCGATACAAGCAGCACGCCCTGCCAATCCGTAAACAACCCGAAACAACAGGCAGCAGAATCCCCGTTGTCGGCGCCAAGAACAACGGCAACAGCAACAGCAACGGCAACGGCAGAGACACTGGGGCTGCGCTGCCCATCGGTGCTGCAGCCACCAGTGACGACGCAACCGCTGGCGAAGGCACGGCGGATGTGGTCGTGGCCTTGGGCGGCGACGGCTTCCTGCTATCGCAGCTGCACGGACACGCCATGAGTGGACTGCCTGTCTTTGGCATGAATCGCGGCACCATTGGATTTCTCATGAACGAGTACTTGGAGGAGATGCTGATGGAACGGCTGCACGCTGCTGTCTGCCGAACCATTCACCCACTGCGTCTGCGCACCGTGGACGTGCACGGCCAAGTGACGCACTCGCTCGCCTTCAACGAGGTCTCTGTCTTCAGGCAGACGCGTCAAGCTGCACACGTGTGCGTGAGCATCGACGGCACGGTGCGCATCAACCCGCTCATCAGCGATGGTATCCTGGTGGCCACACCGGCTGGCAGCACCGCATACAACGCGTCGGCCGGCGGCATCATGCTCCCGCTCGATTCCGGGCTGCTCACCCTCACCCCGATCTGCGCCTTCCGGCCACGGCGACTTCGCGGCGGCGTGCTGCATCGGCACGCCCGGGTCGCCATCGAGAACCTGAGCCCAGCCAAGCGGCCCATATCGGCCACGGCAGACTTCCACGAGGTGCGGGACGTCGTGCACGTGGAGGTGGAGGAGGCACGCGACATATCCTTGCACCTCCTCTACGATCCTGCACTCGATATCGATGAGAAGGTCTGGCATGAGCAGTTCTTTTGAGGCACCACGCATGCAGGGTGTGCGTATGTGTGGTTGTTTGGTTGCTTTGTTTATGTGTGTGTGTGTGTGACTGTGTGTGTGTCGGGTGTGTGTGTGTGTGTGTGTGTGTGTGTGTGTGTGTGTGTGTGTGTGTGTGTGTGTGTGTGTGTGTGTGTGTTTGAATGCGCCTCATGGTGTCTCACCATGTCTTTCTCCTTTTCTCATTCACCCCCATTCCGAGAGCAGGCTCCCAGTACCTCATTAAAGGGCCGTCGTGGGAGAAAGCGTGCCCTGACATTGCACCACAATGCAAGATGGTCGAGTCTGCCAAAAGAGAGGGCCTGAAGCCAGATGCTGTCATCGGATATAACCCTGATGCATCCATCACCATCTTTGCAACGCGTGAAGCACTCCGGAAAACTCCACCGAGTGACAAGTACGGCCTTCTGTCGCAAACCACTCCGCGTTTGCGTTTGTGTGTGTGTGTGTGTGTGTGTGTGTGTGTGTGTGTGTGTGTGTGCATGCGACCCGTTGTTAAACCTGTGTGGTTGTGTCTATGATCTGTGCAAGTGCGTGCTTCTTACCGAATACCCACAATTCGTGACACGCGTGCACCTTGGACGCGCAGGTTCACGTCTGTGGCGTCCTATCATCCAGATGCTGACATCGACATCAGCTGGGGCCGCACCCTAAAGACGCCGACCGCCTGGTCCGTCATGTCCATCCTCGCAAAGTACCCATACGAAAAGGTGTGTGTGTGTGTGTGTCTTTGTCGATCTCTGTGCATGCGTATCGTTCATTCACCTTCCGTATCGTTCTCTCATCCTCCGTTGTACATCTCTTCGCAACAACATACGTCGTCGTGTGACTAACGCCGTTCACCGCTAAACAAACGCGTGCATGTGTCACATCCCTGGTGTTCCACCTTGCTCCTCTGCATCCTCCAACACGTTAGCGCACGTGCGACGGTATCTGGGTTGTCTCCAATATGGCCATCTCCAAGCGAAATCACCTCGTAAGCTCAATTGCACTTCGCAGTCGACGCGCCCGTGTATAAGTGTGTGTGTGTGTGTGTATAAGTGTGTGTGTGTGCATGTGTGCACAGGTGTGTAGATGTGTCTGTGTGCATTGGTGTGTCTGTGTGCATTGGTGTGTGTGTATGTGTGCCCCATTCATTCATGTGAGCATAAATCACAACACGACATACCTTACGCCCTGTCGCTCGCCATGCACTGAAAAGGCCAAAGTGCTGTCGAACCACCTCAAGTGTGTGCGCGTCTTCAGCAACGGGTGCTCGAAACTTTCGCGTAAGCGGTACCTACTGGCTCGCCTGTCTGTTTCGTTCAACAACCCCGACCACCGAATCGTGATGTACTTTTACAACATTCGCATATACACACGCACAGGTGCATGCACGTATGTATACACATAACATACACAGCTGCTGACGCTCACCGCTCACCACTGTATGTTGGACAGATGACATTGACTGTCGCCCTGGACTCCAGCGAGACCCAGATGTGGAATTCAATGAAATGGCCAAATACAAGTTCTACTTTGCGTTTGAGAACGCGAGGTATGACGAACTATTGCACCTCACCACTGCTGTCACGCATGCGGACAAGCACGCAGTCGCCTCACTCGCTTCACTCGCTTCACCAAACACGCACGCACGCATGTATACACAACCCACATTCACACATTCACACACACACCGCACATACATACATACATACATACATACATACATGCATACATTCACACATACATTCACATGCATGCATGCATAACACAACGGCTGACACCACATACCTCGGTGGCTGTGTTGCAGATCTGACTATTATATCACGGAGAAAGTGTGGCGCTCCCTGGCAATCGGCAACATTCCAAGTACGGCAACACACCGTGTACACCACACGCGCCTGCGTGCCTGCTCTGCGCACGTGCGAGTGATTGGGCGAGAGTTGAGGCTCATGAACCAACGTCGTCTGTGTATGATGCTTCGGTGCAGTTGTGTTTGGCGCTCCTCAAAGAATGCTCCGCCAGAAGCTGCCTCCCAACTCGTTCATCTCAACAGATCAGTTTGATTCAGAGGAGCAGCTTGCCGCCCATGTCGCCAAGGTGTGGGCACGTGTGTGTGTGTGTGTGTGTGTGTGTGTGTGTGTGTGTGTGTGTGTGTGTGTGTGTGTGTGTGTGTGTGTGTGTGTGTGTCCATCTGTGCTCTGAAAACATTGGCTGATGTTCACTCCACTCACTTCTCCAACTTGCTGCTGCTCGCCATCCCTGCATGCAGGTGGCGTCGAACAAGACACTGTTCGAATCATACCATGCCTGGCGCAAACACTATGCGGTAAGAGTCGAGAGGCAGCCAATGCCGAACGCGTGCCGTGAAGGGAATGATGCAAATCTCACTCGCTTCGCCCGCCCGCACATGACCATTGTCACTCACCGACCCTCTTTTGATGTGACATGCACGCACACACACACACTCACCTTCCGTATCGTTCTCTCATCCTCCGTTGTACATCTCTTCGCAACAACATACGTCGTCGTGTGACTAACGCCGTTCACCGCTAAACAAACGCGTGCATGTGTCACATCCCTGGTGTTCCACCTTGCTCCTCTGCATCCTCCAACACGTTAGCGCACGTGCGACGGTATCTGGGTTGTCTCCAATATGGCCATCTCCAAGCGAAATCACCTCGTAAGCTCAATTGCACTTCGCAGTCGACGCGCCCGTGTATAAGTGTGTGTGTGTGTGTGTATAAGTGTGTGTGTGTGCATGTGTGCACAGGTGTGTAGATGTGTCTGTGTGCATTGGTGTGTCTGTGTGCATTGGTGTGTGTGTATGTGTGCCCCATTCATTCATGTGAGCATAAATCACAACACGACATACCTTACGCCCTGTCGCTCGCCATGCACTGAAAAGGCCAAAGTGCTGTCGAACCACCTCAAGTGTGTGCGCGTCTTCAGCAACGGGTGCTCGAAACTTTCGCGTAAGCGGTACCTACTGGCTCGCCTGTCTGTTTCGTTCAACAACCCCGACCACCGAATCGTGATGTACTTTTACAACATTCGCATAT